TATGAACCTCAGCCTCCTCTGACCCCAAGACAACAAGAATTAGATGGTGTCCAGCTACCACTAAACCAACTGCTCTGAAAGGGATCACATTAGAAAGTCCTGGATAGAGTAAGAGAAAAATATGGGAGGAAAAACTCACAATCACAAAAAAGATCAAGCTTACTGATGGGGTAGAGACTGGTGGAGTCCCTAAGAGTATGGCCCTGGGTCACTCCAGTTCTGGATCTGAACCAACTCCTGGGGCTCAATTTTCAGCCAAACAATAGATAGCTGTACAGGGTTTCTGAGGAGCAGTTTGGTGGGTTTGACCTGCCAACCCATGGTTTGAAGTCCTGTGCTGATCCTACAGCAGGAGTCCAGACAGGTCTATAAGGGGTACAAAACCACTAGGAAAGTATACATTCCTTAGAATAATCAACCATTTGAGATCAAAAGGGCAGCATCTACCCAAGGGCAAAGTTCAGAAGGATTAGGAAAGAAGGAAGAATAGAAACAGAAAACAAAGCAAGGAAGTAGAATAAATGATGCTACATTGTGGGGATTGCAATCAATGACATGAATCAAATTGTGTATGAACTTTTTAAATAAAAAACTGATTAGCTTTGTGAACTTTCACCGAATTCATATTTTTTTTGACAGAAGAAAGATCTCTGAAGAGACTTGATAAGATTTCCCAGCATAAAGGTAGTGAGTGCTAAGGTCTTATTCCTTAAATCACTTATCCAACATAAGCCCATGCTACAAACTTGCATTTGCTAAACCCCAAAAGCAACAAATGGAACCTTGGTGGTACAGTGGTTAAAGTGTCAAACTACTAACTGAAAGGTTAGTGATTCAAACCTAACAACTGTGGCAGTCTGCTTCCATAAAGATTTCTGTCTTGGAAACCTTATGGGGCAGTTATACCCTGTCCTGTAGACTTACTAAGAGTCAGCACGGACTCTAACAGCCGTGGGGTTTGGTTTGGGAGTAACTAGATGAATCAGTATATGAAGCCCTGGTACCGTAGTGGATTATGAGTTGAATGGCTGCTACCTGCAAGATAAGCAGTTCAAATCTGCTCCTGTAAAGATTTACAGACTCCTGGTATGGCACTGTTGGATCAGCACTGGGCTGCAAACCACAAGGTTGGCAGTTCAAACCCACCAGATGCTCCTTGGAAACCCTATCCAGGGTTGCTATGAATCGGAATCAAATGCATAGCACACAACAACAACAACAAGATGAGTCAGGTTCAATAGTCCTGAGCCTAAAGGCGGGGGAAGGGGATTGTCAGAATTAAGAGTAGGAAGCTCAGTGACCTGTTCTGGGTCCTCCCAGGGGCCCCCAGCTCAGAATGCTTAGGTTTTGCTTTCTCTGGCCAATTTTAACCTTGCATATTTAATCCAGCTCTGCAGACACACTTCCTATCTCTTTCATTTCTTAAAACTGTCCTTTTTTCCTCCCCCATGGGGCTTTGCCTAAATTCCAGTTCCCTACAGTGACATCACGAGGGTTGGTGTCACAACTCTCCCTCAGGGCCCTCCTCCCATGCCTGACCATACAGAACGCTTAGAATGTTCATAATCAATTATAATCATAGCAAAATAATGATAAGTGTAGTTGTAATTGCTTAAATGTAGTATTTCTTAGATTGTATGCACACAACAACAAAATTGTTTTTCAATATCTACATTGAATTATGACATCAATTACTTTATTAGTAAATGTATAGAAACTTGCTTTTGCTTTTTCTTCTTCTTTTCCTTTAATTACTTCATTCTCAAAATAAGGTATTGGTGCAAGTTCACATATACTACTTACCACAATATTGTAGCTAAAGTACAAGAAAATTTGACAAAATCAGTAACTATAGAGACACTGCCAGCAATGAAAACAGCATGTGCTTGTAGCCTTAGACATGAAGTGCCATTGTAATTGGGTAATAATGACAGCTCTGACCACAGCATAATAAACACCACCACCACCACCCTCCCACCACCCCCGGCATCATGTCAATTTCCACTCAGAGTGATCCTAGGAACGAGGAGAATTGCTCCTTAGCATTTCCAGGCAGTACACCTTTACAGGAGTAGACAGTCTCATCTTTCTCCCTTTGCAGGAGTTGGTGGGTTCAAACCACCTACCTAGTAGATGGAAGTCTAACACTTAACAACAGCATCACCACTGCTCCTTCGATGACAGACAAAAATTCCAAGAGTCCATTGGTGGTGGTTGTGCTTATGTGCCTTGGAGTCAGTTCCAACTCACAGTGACCCTGAACAGGGTTTCTGAGGCTGTAAATCTTTACAGGAGCAGAAAGCCTCATCTTTCTCCTGCAGTACAGCTGGTAGTTTCGAACTGCTGACATTGAGGTTAGCAGCTTGATTCGGTTCGTAAGGTTCAAAAAGTAACTTAACATAGTTTTAACCTTGTGGGTATGTGATATATGTAAATTGGGCTTACGAAGAATGTTTTTGTTGTTATAACTAACCACAATGATATTTTTATTTAAAATGCATGTAATAATTGTGGCTGAAACACGCACAACCATTGTATAGAGTCATTTTGGTGTGACCCCTCTGACAGTATCAAGGTGTGTGGTGTGGCCGTGGAATAGATTCTGACAACGAGGAAATGACTGCTGAGCTTGAACCACCAACCTTGCAGTTCAAACAGATCTTGCAGTCCAGCGCATTAATCCACAGCACCACACCAGGACTCCCCTGGTCTGCCTTAAAAGCTCACCAAGCTCTAAACTAAAGCTGTGCTGTCTCTAGAAACCTTTTCCGATTTGAAGATCTGATCAAATCTCTTATTAACCCATCTACCACCTTGGAACTTTTCACATTTGTAGTTTTACATACATTTGAATGACTTTAATATTTGACCATCTGCTCTCCGGTGCTTAAATGCCTGTAGGGCAGGAGGCTGGAGACTTTTGTTAGATGCCAGTATCTGATACACAGCAGGCGCCCCAGAAATAGAAAACAAAAACAAAAATGGATGTACCTGGGTGCTAAGCTGTCCTCAACCTCCGCGGAGGAGCCAGGGTGGAGGAAGATCCCCTGAGCTGTCTTAAAACCCAAGTAAGCATCCTAGCGTCTATCTTAGCCTTTACTGTTTTTAGTGCCATTGAGTCAGTTCCGACCCATAGCGACCCTGTATAGGGTTTCCAAGGAGCAGCTGGTGAGCTTGAACCGCCGACCTTGCAGTTCAAACGGCTTTGCAGTCTGGCACATTAACCCACAGCGCCACGCCTTTATAGGGCAATCTAAAATGCAAGGGATGTTTGCCCCAAGTCCCCAAGACTATAAGCTCCCAGATAGAAGGTATTTCCTTGTTTGTGTTCAATGTGCTGCCTGTTTCTTAGCAAGAGACACGTATGGAAAATAGTAAATATTAGCCTCGCTTCCTACTATTGAATTTATTCTGATGGGTGGGGCAAAGTGGGATGCTATGGAAGATTTCAAAGAAATATTTAAGCCTCAACTGATTCGAGAAAGAATACAAGCGACCCTGCACCCAACTAAATATTGAGGGGAAAAAAGAAAATGTACCCTCCTCTCCTCTTTCACCCAAAGTGGGAGGTGGGGGGGGGTCCTAATTAACGTGTTAATTTTTCCAGGTTTCTTGAGTCTCTGCGCTATACATGGGAATTCTGGACTCATCTACAGCCTTCCGTATGGATTGCATCTCAATGTAAAGAAAACAGAAATCCTCACTACTGGACCAATAAACAACATTCATATCAACGGAGGAAAGATTGAAGTTGTCAAGGACTTCATTCTTCTTGGATCAACCATCAACACTCATGGAAGCAGCAGTCAAGCAATCAAACGACTTATTGCATTAGGCAAATCTGCTGCGCAACACTTTTTTAAAGTATTGAAGGGCAAAGATGTCGGCTTAAGGACTAAGTTGCGCCTGACCCAAGCCATGGTATTTTCAATAACCTCATATGCATGCAAAAACTACAGTGAATAAGGAAGACCTTGGAAGAATTGATGCTTTTGAGTTATGGTGTTAGAGGAGACTATTGAAAGTGCCATGGGCTGCCAGAGTGTTCCTTGGAGGCCAGGATGGCCAAACTTCGTCTCTCATACTTCGGACATATTGTCAGAAGGGACCAGTTACTGGAGAAGGATATCATGTTTGGTAGGGTGGAGGGTCAGAGAAAAAGAGGAAGAACCACAGCGAGATGGATTGGCAAAGTGGCAGCATCAATAGACTCAAGCGTGGCAAAAATTGTGAGGTTGGTCTAGGACCCGGCACTGTTTCGTTCCGTTGTACATAGGGGTAGCTATCAGTCTGTACCGACTCGGTGGCACCTAACAACTATAGTCGCCGCGAAGTCTGCACCCGTTGTAATGCCTTGGGGCATTTCGTGACCAGGGAGTTGAGGATTGATGCAGTAAATCACTTACTTATCATAGGATCCTTGTGGGGAAAGTCGTGAGATTTACACGCGGGAGGGAGGTGGTCTTGGTTCATTTGCCATTTACTGGCATTGTACTGGAGTACGGTCCCCCAACGCTCGGCTCCGCCACAAGAGCTCAGTACTAACAGAATTTGATCCCCGCGCGCGCCAGCGCGCAACTCTGAGAAACCGCCAGGCTCTCTCCACCCCAGCAGCCAAGATCCCGGCGCGCAGGCGCGGTGGCGCGCGCAGGACGGTGCGCGGGATCCGGGCGGGGCGGGCGCGAACCGACTTAAATACGGCGGAGGGGGCGGTGCTCGGCCGGCTCTGTGCTGCTGCCTGGTGGGCGAGTGTCTGCAACTGTCTCCGCGTGGCGTGAGCCTCGCTCTTCCCCAGCGGCGGCGGCGGGCTCCATGGAGAGCGGTGGACACCCGGACAGAGGAGGCGCTTCTAACCCGGCTCACAGGCTCCACTGACCCGCGCTTGTGCTCCGCACCACGTCGGAGCAGTCGCGGCCCCGGCTCCGGCTCCGGCCCCGGACTGATCGGCTGCATCGCCTCCCAGCGCGCACTGATCCCTAGCTCCCCGACTCGCCGCGCCCGCACTCCTCGGCGGGTTGGCGGCGGCCGGGCCCCCGCGGCGACGGCCGGAGCAGCAGCGACAAGAAGAGCCCGTCTCTATGATGAAGTTCAAGCCGAACCAGACGCGGACCTATGACCGCGAGGGCTTCAAGAAGCGGGCGGCGTGCCTGTGCTTCCGGAGCGAGCTGGAGGACGAGGTGAGAGCTGGGCGGCCGGCGCGCTCGGTGCCCGCCGCGGGCGCAGAGAGGCCGGGCTAGCCCCTGACCGCCCCGCCGATCCTCCATCTGGCTGCAGGACTGGGAGGGATTCGCTTTCCTCCTCCTCCCTCCTTCCTTCCTTTCTCTGGGTTGATGAAGGAGAGACAAAGGGGTTTGCCCAGCCTTCTCCATCTGGGCCGGCGGGAGGGCGGGAGGCCGAGACGCCTCCTGGCCCCCCGGCAGGTCCCTAGCTGTGCAAGCTGCGCCTAGCGGAGTCACCATGTTACAAGCGAATTGAGCGTAAAACCGAGTGCTAACGAGGGGCGGGAAAGGCAATAGAAATGGCGTGAATGTGGTAGCCCTAACCTTTCAGCCTCTTGTTTCCCTTCCTTGTTTTAGCAATTTGCGGTGGTGGATTAAATCTAGACATTTTTCTAGAATAGATAAACAGCCCGCGGACTTTATAATAATAAAAACTCACTGGGATTAGTTTGGGCACTTGCTATCTGACTGGACTCATTAGGTCACAAGAGCTGGGGCACTATTAGCCTTAATAAAAAAAAAAGCTCCCTCGTTTAAAGTTTTCTGCCTGTAGAAAGATGGTTAACGAAGAACGTAAAATAACACCAAAAGGCAGAAGTCGGGCTAAAGATGAGCAAAGTTGCCATTTTTAGATAGTAATCTCTAATGTTCGGCATATTTACCAAGGCGCCTTTACTTTGCTCTTTGGCTAGTCCACTAGGAAGAGGCAGCCCGTCTCCTAAAAGCAAGCAGTCCAGATTGTATAATTGACCAATCTGTGTGGGATGATAGTGAGGCCCTTGAAGTTTCCCCGGAGAATAGTTTTTTACTTATTTCAGTTACAGTTATTTAATATAAAATTGGCTCATTGCTTTACATTTGCTTAGGACAGTAATGATCCATTGGTAGCTGATCAAAACCATTTAGCATAGTCACCTCTAAAATGATTTAGACACAGGGCAGATTACCCAGTTAGCAAGGTAAACACAGAGATTAAGTAAACGCAGGTAAACCCATGCTTACTTTTTGTATGGGGGGTACTCCGTCCCAGTCAGGGATTGTAAATTTAAGTCTTTGATTCTTTAGGAAGGTGGTGTAGAATAGAGAGAGAGATGTCAGCCATAATTAGAAGCAGAATCTTTTATGCAGTGGAAAAAATGTAAAACTGTTCACTACAGATTAATAAGTAAACACAAGTAAGCCTGTGCTTACCTTATTGGGTAATCTGCCACTGATTATCAAGGTAGACATTTACATTCTAGGTTCAGTTTCCACAATCAAATGTATCCAATAAAATACCCGGCTGAAGCTGGGGATGAGAATTTAATGGCTTCCTTATTGCTAGTCGGTGTAGTTAGAGACAAGTATGACAGTGTACACTCTACAGTCCTGTAGTTGCCCTTGAGATACAGGCAGCCCCCAGATTACGAACAAACAAGTTCTGTTGATAAATCTGTTTAAATCAAAGATTTGTACCGAATCTGGGACAGTTTGTCAAGTGTTTATTGTACAATATAGTGTCACTTTCTAGCATAAAAAAATATTACAGAAACACTTCCGGATGCATAAAATATCTTTAACACCTGTTTTTTATTATAAACCATTGTGTGTGTCAAATATTTACTATGTTGTACATAAATTGGATGTTGGATGTCTGTAACCCAGGGACTAACAAAAATCAAGTGGTCTTCAAACCTTTGTTTTAGTCTTTATGATCTGAAAAGAAACCAGGCTGTTTGGTTGGTGCTCATCCCAGGCCTTTCTTTAAATGTTGAAGGCATTTCCAGAGAAATTTAGTCTATGTCCTGGAGAGCTGGAACCTGGGGTTTCTGAGTGATATATATATATGTTTTTTTTTTTTTTGTTTGTTTGTTTTTTCACAAAGTCAGCAGCTGTAAGTGTCCCCTATGTGAAAAAAAAAAAGATTAAAAGGCCCTTGATAGAAGGATCCCCTTAGGGTTCTCTTAACTGGGCACTCTAGGATAAGAAGTGGACCGACCGTAAGGTTGGTTTGAACAAAAGGTAGGCAGTTCAAATCCTCCAGCCGCTCCTTGGAAACCCTATACAGGGTCACCATGTGTTGGAACCAATGCAACAGCTTAACAGCAATGTTGTTGTTGTTGTTGTTAAGCGCTGTCAAGTCGATTTCGACACAGTGACTCTGTATAGGGTTTCTCAAGCAGCTGGTGGGTTTGAACTGCCAATCTTATGGTTCGTAGTCCATTACTGATGGGAAGTAATCAAGAGAGGTCAAGGATCTTGTCTGACTTCGTTCACTATTGTATTAATTCTTTGTTGAGGGTTATGTGTAATCCTCACACCTATGAGGTAGTGCTGATTACTTGCGTTTTGTAGGTGACAGGCAGGTTCAGAGACTAGTACCATGCCCAGATGATACAACTACTAGTGGTACATCCAAGTTCAGGGCTAAGTTCTGCCTCACGCTGCCATCTTGGCACCAATTGCAGCCATATCAACCGGGTGCCCACTTTGTTGAGTGAGGTTTTGAGGCTAAGCTTGGGAGGTTTGTGAAAAGTGGTAAATTTGAAGTTTTGCCAGGACTTAAACTTGGAATCAGTAAACAAAAGTCCCCAGGGAAAAAAATGGGGATGTGTGAGGAAATTCAAATTCAAATTATCTTTATTGTGTAGATGGTAAAACTTTAGAAATTACCTTAGCACAGAAATGTATTTTGGCTCTTGAGCCTTGTTGTTGTTGTTGTTGTTATGTTGTTATTGAGTTGGTTCTGACTCATAGCGAATCTGTATAAGGTTTCTGAGGAGTGTCTGATGAGCCTGAACTGCCAGCCTTGTGGTTCAAACCAACCTTGCAAGTCCAGTGCATTAACCCACAGCGCAACCCCAGGACTCCCTACTATTCTAATAAATACTACATTCCTCACCTCCACTCAGGCCATGAGATAGTGCTATTAGATAAAATGAAGTAGGGAGCAGTTCTGGTTCAATGCTTGAGAAATCTTCATCTCTGTGGTGTGTTATAGTTGAGACTGTGAATAAATGAGCCATCTCTATTTGCAGGACAATGACAGAATTAAACTCAGTTTCTTTGACACTCATACACACCCCAGGCTTTTAAGCCCCAGAGTACTTTCTGATCATGTTCTCACCTTACTTAGGAGTTAACAAGAAGCCCTAACTTAAGTTTTTCTTGAAAGAAAGATTGTTCTGACAGCACAGTCTATCCCTTTTTTAAGGGGGAGGAAGATAATATATTATCCAATTTTTATATTTTTCTGCCCTGTGAAGTATTACCAGTATACCAAAGTATTACCAAATAGGAAGAAACTGGGCAGCAGAAATCATTTGTACCAAGGTAGAGAATTTGGCAGAGCTTTTTGTTGTTTTTAACATAGTTTCTTTGTTTCAGAATTGTAGGTTTATTTGATTACATTGTCTCTCCTACTCTAGTGATTTTTTAGAGAAACCACCCTGTAGTTTGTCAGGCTTCCAGGCAAGCCCATGAACAATTATACCATAAAGTAGCTGGAGTGATATATTCTGGGACCTTTCCCATAACCAAAAACAGATTCTACTGGACACACTCAAGTATGTGATAGTTTAAGTGAAAATCCTCTGCTTTCCTGTCAATTTCCCCTGTGCCACAAAGTAGCAACCACCTTGGGAGTAGAAGTGCCCTATTATGTCTTCTTGGGTGTGATCTGTATGGAAGCCGTTCACCAGACCTTTCTTCTGGCACATTCAAACCATCAACCTTTATATTAGTAACTGGTCACAAAGGATGCAGTAATGAAAGTTGTCAGCCCCCCTCAGAAACATATTTGGAGTCCTGGTAAGTCATTGTAAATACACACTGGATTGCTGCTACCTTCAAGGTCAGTAGTTCATATTCACCAGCCGCTCCTCAGAAACCCTATACAGAATATGAATTGGAACCAATTCGACGGCATTCAACAACAACAACAAGGAGCATATTATGTAGTGAGATATACTAGACAAATGAATGATACAAAGGAGTTAAGATCCAATGTGTGTCCGGTGAAGAGGGATTTCAATGTGAGGAAAAGGGAGCGATCGATCATACATTCCAAGTAGAACTAGGCTAAGGAGATGCCATAGGATAAGCACTTGACCTCAAGGTCAGTTTGAACCACAAGGTTGGCAATTCAAACTCACCAGCCATTCCTCAGAAACTATACAGGGTCACTGTGAGTCTAAGCCAACTCAACAGCACTTAACATCAAGGAGTTGTTTGGGATTTTGGTGTTAAATTGTGATCTGGTTGGGCAGTAATTTAGGATGTTGTTATGTGCTGTGGAGTTGGTTCCAACTCATAGCGACCCTGTACAGGGTTTCCGAGGCTGTAAATCTTTACAGGAGCAGAAAGCCTCCTCTTTCTCCCACGGAACAGCTGGTAGTTTAGAACTGCTGACCATGAGATTAGCAGCCCGATTCGTAACCACTACACAACCAGATCAAATTACAAAGCAGTAACTTAAGGATAGGACTCCAGGACTCCAAAGGTACTGATAGGCAAGAAAAGAATACTTGGTTTAAAATAAAGACTATATGGGTCGGAATTATCTCAACAGCACTTAACAGCAACAACAATTTGGGTTCTAGATATATCTGGCAGCGAAATGGGATGGTCTGCTAAGTGGAGAGATCACATGACTTGAATCTGGGTGGTGTCTAGACATGGTACAAGAGGCATTGATAGCTGGTCTACACATGGTCTACAAATAATGCAGAATGTATTCTTGAAAAATCAGAGTTTCAAAATATTTATTGTATTATCTTAATAAATAATATCAATAAATGTTGTAGTTTAACAACCCGTTTCAAATATTATACTCCGGGGCTCATACTTCTGAAGATACTACCATACTTGTATGCAAATAATATACTCCCATACAGTTTTTTAGCAATCATGCTTGTATTTTCGATGTGGGCTATATATAAGTTATTAATGTGTGTGTGTGTTATATGGGAAAATAACCT